GTATAAATATAAACTAGTTGGTTCCCAGGAACTGGAATTTTTTGAGTAAAATAATCCACAGAATGTAGATTTTCTGTTTCATGGACGTAACATTATTACATACTGAAAGCGTATCATGGGGTAGCTGGAAACATCAGAATTCAGGGCGTAAAGACCTGGCTTTGTTGCAAGCCAGGTCTTTAGGCTTTTCTTCAAAGGGGTTGATTCGCAAAACTGAATTGATAAAAATATGTAAAGTTTGAAAATCAAGCCTGCGTGTAGATTGTATAGTCAATTACTGTTCTTAATAATGGCCATGCTAAGGTTTGCCTCTCATCCGAAAATGACTGTTGCATGTGATTCACACTGAGTTTTTGCCTCTTGATCATTTGCCTAGATGCTTACTTTCTGGATCTGTACGAGACGCATTTGCAACCACACGCATGGATGTTCCATCAATCTTTAGGTAGTGACTCGCGTTATGACCGCCATCGTTTCGAGACCGGAACCGAGCATTCCCGCGGAACCAGGCGTCGCGCTTGGTGATATCCCCAACGCTTTCCTGAAATGTTAGTTTTACCTTTTATTGACAATCCTTCAGTCAGCGAATCCATCCGAATTTTTCAAAATATAACATCTCTTACTGATCAGAGAGATATGACCTCAAAAACGTTTAAATAAGAAGGAATTTGAAACATTATCGAATGAAAAGAGTAACACCTCAGACAAAACAATGATTAAAAAAATGATTTAAACACTAACAGGAATATCTTATATCACACTACACAAAAGTGGAAATTGTGGTCAATAAATGACTAAAGACTAATTTCATCTGTTTCATTTAAGCTAAGTGTGCACTTAGTTTCTGTTCAGAAATCAAGAATGAAACGCACTTGGAACTCACAGCGCGCGCTTTTTGCTCACCTATGACTACGTCAGGTGACGTCACCGTAATTCTTTAGCATGCGCGATAAGCTGCATTGTGGGTGGGTGATGACAAAGCATAGCAAAGTGGTCAAACTTGTGCGCATGTGCTAATGACGATATGGATAATTATAAGCAGTGAGTTTCAGTAGTGTCAGAAATAAGTTGTCTTATATGAACTAGAAAAAAATACGATACAGTAAGTCACATTGCTTTAGAACCTTGTATCGTTTTCCATAAAGTTGAAAACAAAATGGTAAAAGAGTAGGACACACGTAATTCATAATGCTTTAGATTCTAAAAATCTTGAAATTTCCTTTTCTTTACTTTTTGTTTCCTAAAGAATTCTCGGATCAATTTTACTATAGGTATTGTCGGCCGACATGGCGACCGACACGTCGACCGATATATCGGTCGATATGTCGGTCGATAGTCGGTCGACAGGTCAGTCGATAGTCGGTCGACAGGTCAGTCGATAGTCGGTCGATAGTCGGTCGATAGTCGGAAGATAGTCGGTCGATATGTCGACCGACAGATGGAGTGTCGCGTCTCGGTGGAATATCGGTCAAGTGTCGGTGGAATATCGGTCAAGTGTCAGTGGTCTATCGGCCGAGTGTCGGTAGTCTATCGGTCAAGTGTCTGAACTTTATCGGTAAATATAGTTTGAACGTCGCTCGTGTGGTTGTGTATTGTTGCAGTGTCGGTATTGAAAAATTTGATTTGAAGCGTA